GTTAGGGCAATAAAAGAGATTGTATTCTTGGCAGATGGACGCAACCCCTGCTGAATGAGAACCTCTGGCAATTTGAACTTTCGCCGCTCAACTGCTGAGAGATGGCAGCTACCAGGGTGGCTGGTGCCAGCTGGGACAGCAGGCAAGGCACACCTGGCAAAGCAATCCCTCTTCAGGGAGCTGCTCCCTGCGTTTTGGGGGGCTGTTCACACTGGTAGCAAGCCCTGTGCCTGACTGCGTAAGTTGCAATTAGGCTTTGGGTGTCTGTCTGTGCTACAGTCAGGAGTAGATTACAGCCTGGAAAACATACCTCGTCTACCATCGAATAAATTAGATAAGAATCACACTTGAGACGTGACATCACAGGCTCATCTTCTGAGTCCTGGCTGCCAGGCTTCTCTGCAGCAGTTGCTCCAGCACGGTGAGACCGCATTACCTGACCGCACAGCCTCGGTTATGGCTGCAGTCTCTTCAGTCACCTGATTTAAGTCATAATCTTGTTTCACGCTCTGCTGAGCTTCCTCTCTGCGCTAGCCTCATTGCATGTGAGGTCACAGGACCATAGGACAATTCAGGTCGAAGGGACCCCGGGATGTCATCTAGCCCAGCCTCCTGCTTAAAGCAGGCTCAGCTATAAGGTCAGGTCAGGTTACCCAGGGCTTGCCCAGTGAAACTTGGAGTAACGAGTTGCTAAAGGAATAAAAGCCAATTAAAGCACTATGAAGCATGTCACAAGCAGGAAAGCTCACAGAGAATGGGAAAGGGGAGGCAAGAGGAAGACATATGACAGTCCATGTAAAAAAGGAGCAGAAAGACAACACTACTGCACAAAAACTTTTTTCCTTGCATCAGCAAGTGTCTCAAAAGAGGTTCTGGCAGGTAGGTTTTCATCCAAAAACCTGTGTGTAAGCCTGAGAGAAACTGTTCTGACTGCTGTGACACTGGAAGAGGATTTTTTTTTTTTTAACTAATGACATGAAGTGTAACTAATATGAGAGTCACTGGTATTTTTCCAGAATTGTGAATATCAAACTGCTCAGGCCTAAAGGTGGCACACATGCAACTGTGCTGTCGCGGTCAACTGAAGGCACTGGCTGTTGAAAACTGGTGGGATATACCAGGGAGAGGGTTGCTTTGAATATACCCTACATCCATGCTTTTTTTTTTTTTCCCTGAGCATTTACTGGAGGCTTCTGTCAGAGATGAGCTTAGAGAGAGGATTGGTAAATAATAAGTGAAAGTTATCTTCATGCTGGCTTGTGGAATTGCCATCACAGTGCTGTGTTCGTCAGGTGCTTGTGCCTGAAGGCTCCTGGTGTGTTAAATACAGGCTTACTGGCTTTACAGATCATGTGCTTTCGTCTCAGTAATTTGAATATGGCATTATCTTAAAATACAAACTCCAAAATTTGTAGCAGGAACAGTTTTGTTTGTATAATGCCTAAAGAGTGCTTCAAACTTCGGGCTGAGATTTTAAGGGCAAATGATAAAACGCCAATAGCTCATACTATCTTTTAAAACAAAGGCAAAGTGGAGCAGGAGGGAGAATGTATGGAGAGTAAGATTGGTTATACTGAAAGGAAGAAAGAAGGATTTGCATAGCTTCTGTGTTGGGACTTAATATCCACGTATATCTTCAAGTAAGCATAGTGTAAATGTTCTCCAGGGCTGATTTTATGCAAGGCAGTATTTATGGTTAAAGGTATGGAAGGACCCTTTCGTATTAAAACTTCCTGTTCTTTTGATTTACTGAAAGTTAAGTAAGGAAAGGAAGATTAAAGAGGAAGGGAAGTCTAAATAGATATCTGCTTCTGGAAACAGAGACTATAAAACAGCTTTTCATGCAGGGCATGGATTATGATTACAAATAAGAAGCACAGTCTTTACAAGCGTTATGTCTTGGAGCTGCTAGGGGAAGAATTTCACATGTAGAGATTTAGCCATATTTGAAGTCTCAGTTCCTAATAGGGGGAAAAAAAAAAATCACTAGTTCCTGAATAAAAAAGACTTAAAAAACCAAAGCCAAATAAATCACACACCCTGAAAAAAGCCCCCCCAACAGTCATACTAAACTGTGGGAAAGTTTTGAATGTGATCTTTTCTTTTATATTTAATGCATTTAGCTGTGAACTTCATAGATGTTGTAGTAATTAATAGAAATGTTTATAGTGTATAATGGTTATATCTGTAGAGAAAATAAAATTTATGAGCACTTCCTGCACCGAGATACTCCTTTTAATCTGACAAATGTGTGAATTACACTAATCACAGAACAACGGAGAAATGCCCTCCCTCACTTAAAGTTCAATCAAAAACTGTTACTGAAGAATGCTGAGATATTAATGCAAGCGAAGGAAGAAACTATGACAGGAGAAGTTTGAAGTTGACTATAGTAAATCATTCATGTATTATCAAATTTTGGAAATCAATTTTTTTTTCTTGTTTCTGTTTTGTATTTCCTTATGCAATGTACTGTGTGTTGATATGAGGTAGAGTTAATTGTTCAAAAGATTCATCCCAGGTTTGCATGTTACTTGCGTAGCTTGTCTAGTACTGAAGCTATCAGCCAGCACTGTGTTACGTCTGTAAACTGCACGGTTGTCATCTTCGTTTCCTGTTGTGGGTTTGGGTAGAGTTGACTTGTAAAATCGTAAATCCCTGAATACTAGAGGGATGACTGCATTGCTTTGGGACACATCAGCTATTGATTAGTGAGGGAAGCTGGTGGGATTTGTCACAGGTGGGATGGAAAAAGGCTAGAATTTGATTTAGCCCACTTCTGAAAGTTTACTTAACAGTTTGATGTGGTTTTTTGAGTCTTGTTTATATGAAGACAATAAAAGTTGTGTGGATTTCTCAAGGACAAAATAGTGCCATTCAGTTTCTATCCTCACATAATTCCATTTTCAACATATACATCTGATTACTTAATATTAAGCAATTGCATCTACTCTGTGTGTGAAAAAGTATTGCTTGCAGATTAAAGACTATTGCTGCAGTACCACTTAGTATAACAAAGTTTTTAAGAAATTGCTCTTCCCCAAGGGCAAAAACAATCCTAGATAGACTATTAATAAATAAGCCTACTTGCTTATTTTAGGTTACTTGAAACAAATCTTGAAGTTGAAATAGGATTAGTGAGCTGATGAAAATAGTAGCCTTCTGCTTAGACTGGATGGGTAGGTGTTATCCAATTTGAAACAATTACTCTTACCCAAAGGTATTGTTGACACAAGTAGAATTTGTGTAGGGCTTTTAATTCACATTCTCTTTTCCCACCCTTGGTGATGTGAATGTGTTTAATGTAAGAAAAGCTGGGGTATCTTTATGCCATTTAATAAACTGGGTTGAAACAGGGATTGAAATTACAAGGATTGTACTGTAAAGACACAATAGGCAGCAATGGCATGGGGCACCCAGTGCGGGTGGGAGGTGGTCCCCAGAAATGCTTTTGGAAAAAAGTATTTGCAGATAGCAAAGCTGAAAACATGGCTATGTGGTGTTTGTGAACTCTGCCAGTGAAATTGCATCATCTTTCTGGGCAGATGGTCTTGGCATGGGCTTGAGCAGGGGTTATTGGGTCTGTAGGAGAAGCTGATGCCAAGGAAATTCAAGGATGTAAATTGGTGAGGAACAGAGCTTGTCTTGCCCCTGGGGGTAGATGCTCAGCTACATTGAGGAAAGAAGTGAACAGTTGCTGCAACATGGTCTAGTGGAAGGTGTCCCTGCCCATGGCAGGGGGGTTGGAACTGGATGGCCTTTAAGGTCCCTTCCAACCCAAACCATTCTATGATTCAAGTGCGGGGAAGCCCTGCCTGCCTACTAGTTATTTTCAGTTAGCTGATAACAGCTGATGGGCAGTTCAGAGGGTCAGGTGTGCAGGGGTAGCGGTGTGTAGGACTTTGGTTGTGTGAAAACTGTGCAGTCTGAACGAGGTGGACTACGGAGCTGAGTGAGACTACACATGGGTTTGGAAATAGAGCTGTGCAGTTGACTGCCTGTGGAGTTGAAGGAAAGCTGGCCAAAAGGTGCAATATGTGGTTGCTAAGAATTGGGGACAGGATTAATCTCTGGCATGCGAGCTGAGTTCTTCTCCAAATCCTGTTCTTGAGTCTCCTGTTTTTTGTGAAAGTGCCAGTTACCCTACATTTAAGGCTATGTCACATCTGTGTTTTGTTGTGGTGTACTTGTGTATATTCGCAAGCTGAGAACTGCTCATCTCACAAGCACATACAGATTTGTTCGTGAAGCTGTGCTTTTTGAGCAGATCAGAGTCTGAAAAACTTCACCGTACACCTGAAGTGGTCTCATAGCGTAACCTGCCAGAACAAGACCATGAGTCTGCCAGCTTGTGAGGTTCCTCCTAGTGGCGTAATGCGTGGTGCGACCAGGGAACATCCTTGGCTGTAGACAAGTGGCACCTAATGCTAAGCAGTAACAAAAGTCAAAAGTTTTAGGAACAGTAAGAAAATTAACTGTCTACTAATGAGCCAGTGTGTGATTTTCCTTCTTTTAAGAAAGAGCTACTGAAGCTGACTTAATTTTATAAGTTCTGTTTTAAACCTCATCTCATTATCTCCCTGTGGCAGGACATTTATGTGAGTAAATAATATTCAGTGTGCCTTATTTTTAACTAAGAAACTCTCCTGTTTACTTGTAATAGTGGTGTGAAAAACTGTTTCTTGCTGCTTCCTCAGTATATATTTTTCTGCCAGTTGAAGCAATTATTCTCCATCTGTCTGTCTGCGCTTTACATCAACAGCAGCTGCTCTGTGAATCTTCTGGCCTATGTAGTCCTTCTGGCTTTTTGTATAATAGGGACCTTTTTAATACAAAAAGAGAAGATGACAGTACAGGGCTTTGATCTTAAAATTAAACTTTAATCAAGAAATCTCCTGAATTTAATACAGTGCATATGAGCAAATTAGAATTAAGGAATTTGGGAATGCGGGAAAGTAACAGGAATCATCATCTTTATGAGCTTCTTGTTTTTATCTTAGGTTTGTCAAAATGAAGAGAAGAACCATTCCACAGAAGAACTTAGCAAGTCTGAAATCCAAGAGGAGCTGAAAAAGGCTAACAGCCTTCCTAGTTTGACTCCTGGAATCAAAACAGGAGAGAAGCCACCCCGAGAAGGTTTTTTTCATTTTCTTGGAAGCTTATTTAATATTGCAACAAAATCTTCTTTGGTAGAATCTAAACCCTCTACCTTCCAAGATGAACCAAACAGATGTAAAAAGGATTTACAGAACACAAACACCCTTCCGGAGGACGTGCAGCCAAAGCGTCCGAAAACTGAAGAGCCTATCTGTTCTACAGCTAGAATAAAAGAGGATTCTGTAAACAAAGATGATGCCATCTTAAATAATATTGGGAAAGATACCGCGCAGGATCTGCAAGGAGGCTGGAAACGATCGGCAGATATGCAAAAGTGAGTTTTATGATTTCGTATGAAGTGCGTTAAGGCTTGTGAGTCTGTGTATGCATGGAATTACCTTAACCAAGTTCCACTGAGTTTGTGACACGACTGTCGCTTCTAAGGATGGTTGGGGTGTCCCCAACTCAGCTTTGTGCAAATCTCTAGTAGCAGCTACTTTAAATGAATGGAGGTAAGTCGACTGCAACAAAATACAACTTTACAGAAAGTTTTCAGAAGCCTCCTGACTATGGATAGGTCCAGGGTAAGTCCGTCGCAGTGTTAGGAGAGGTTAAAAGTGTGGCATTTAGAAATACGCTCAGTAATGTAGATCTACTTTTTTTTAAAAGTGGAAAGAGCTTATTTCCATCCATATTGTGGGCTTGTTTGTGGGTTTGTATGCATGTCCTTTTGATATCTCACTAACTCAGGGGTTTTACTTGTGCAAGTAAGGTTTCCTCATTTTTAAATTCTCTTTCCTGGTTTATTCGACCTGGTGATTTTTGCTTATGTGTTTTGTTTCCCCTTGTTCTTTGGGGTTTTCCTGTGATGTAGAGAAGGCTATACAAAATACTGAATTAGTCAAAACATGGAACATCCTTAACAGTCCTGTAATATTTTTTAAAAATGGTGCCAAGGGCATTAGTCTGTGTTTTGAGAGTAGAAAAGCAAAACCATTGGCTGTGGTCCACACTGTATGTTACAAAATCTTTCTGACCGTGGCATAAACATAGGTCATAGTATTCCAAAAATATTTGTAGCTGTTATGTTAAATATTTGACTATATGTGGGCCAGTACAGCATAGATTTGGGGTTAGGTGTGTAGGAGTGTGGTACCTGTACAGTTTTTGATAGGTGTCTAGAATATGAACTTGTCCACATCAATGAATCTGTAAGTAATGTTTACTTGGATTTTCAGTACTGACCAGGATATTTATTTCAAACTTAAGTTGAAAGTAATGATATGGGGTAACCAGTAATTCTATTGCAGCGTTCCTGCTTATATTGTAGGATGGGGATGTACTAAGAATAAACACTTTTTTTTTTTTTTTTAAGTTTTAAAACCAGTTTGAGTTGTGCTTAGTATATTTATCGTTTTGTCTGTGTTATGTGAAGCTTTTCATCTCCTTATAGGAGGTCAAATTCCCAAAGTAGTTGCTAAATGAATTTCATTTCCATTTTGGAGATGTCTCCAGCACTCTGTCCTTATTATTCAGTAGGCAGTGATTTGAGGCATCTGTCATTCAACTTTATATTATAAATGCAATGGCTGACAGGGGATTGTGATACCCATTCAGGTGAACTTAAGACTGTATTTCCACCACCAAAATGCAGTGCTGTTTGTACTTAATAACAACAGTTGTGTTCTCATGAGTACTGTCGTTTGGTCTGTGACATGGTTGACTGTTTTTATTAGAGATTTTGATCGTAGTAACACACTGTCAGTCAGACGACTGACACTTTTTTCCAAACTGTGTGTTGCAGCTCAGCACCACCTTTTCATTGATTGATACAGAATAAAATTCCTCCTCCACTTAGGTATATGAAGAGGCCTAGGAGCATTATGTTACTCAGTCTAGTTCCTGAACAAACTGTGTAGTTCTGAAGACCAGTTGGACAGGCTGGCTTGCTGCAATATGGTGTTTCTGTGGCGTGCTCTGGGAGCTGGCACATAGATGGCATGCCATTGTGCCAGAGACCGTGCCAAGCTGTAAGAAAAGTCACTCCTTGCCTCAAAGAGAGCTTGGTCAAAAAAAGACGGTGGACAATAATAGATCTTTTTCACTTCATTCCATGTGGTTTCTTCCATATCATATCTCAGCGTACTTTCTTCAATGTTTGCACTTTTTCTCTCTCTCTCCACCCACAGTACTGATAGTATTATCCAGTTTGCAGTTATAGTCTGTCCCTTATGCAGGTTTATTTTGGATTTTTTTTTTTCTTACTCTCATGCCCAACAAAGTCAGTCCTCTTTACAGTCTGTACTCTGACTTACCTTGAGTCTTTCCTGTCTACTCAGACAAATAAGAACCTTGAAGATTCAGCTGAAGGCCCAATATGTAGTGAACCAGACGGGGCAGTCGGAGCCTGCAAGTAAACGGATGAGAGGCAGCCAGTCAGCCCCTACAAAGTCAGTCTTCCTCTATTTTCCCTAGTCCCCTGGCTGATGCGATAAGGAGCAGGGGCACATCTTTCCTCCCAGGTAGAAACCTCTGACTGCTGCTGCCTTTTTAAGTGTATGCATGAGCTTTGTTTGACTTTCCTGTTTTGTTGATGCCTACAGGCCTGTGAATAGGAGTGGTGGAAGTGACAGAACATCTTGGGATGTTTTTTTGCTGCTCCACTCGTTTTATACTGCCGTATTTGAGTAGATCTTGAGCAGTAAACTGAGAGCGTGCTGGGCAGTCTGTATGCACACTTTAGAGGGTCAGATGGTCTGAGACTTCATTTGCTTTTTGTGATTTCTTCATCAGAACAATATGGATTAATAAGTGTGGCATTAATAAATGCTTACAGAGTTCAAAAGGTGTGGGTATTAACTCACTGGACTTCCTTGCTCTGTGCAAGTATTTTAAAGTTATCTTGGTTTTGCTGAAATCAAAGTTGCAGTTGGTATTTTCAATTGACTATATTTTGACTATGCAAAACAGTGTAGATTTTTCTCATTATAGTTTGCCTCTCTCATGGCCAGGCAAGCACATAAAAACGTGTTGCTAGTTTGGAGGTAGGGGTGAGTTGGTCTATATACAGAATGAAGTTCTTCCGTAGAAAGTGACTTTTTTTAAATGGAGGAAAATTAGTGATTTTTCATTGTAGCTGCTGTAGAATTGGGCAAAGGTTAATCCAGTCATTTTCCTTTGAAACTCATTCTCAAAAGTACAGTTCTGCCCTTTATACCTCAGAATGCAAAAAAGTTAGACAATCTCTGTGCACATTTTGTCTATCCTTTTCTCTGCTTGCTACACAATGTGAACTGTGTTTCTGAAGCAATTAATAAGGAAAAATTGAAATGACAGCGTGGAATTAGAAGTTTGCGCTGTTTTCCCTTTGAATCAGGGATACCTCTTTGTTATGGAAGTGATTATGCTGCTTTTTTTTATCTTTTAGTTTATAAAAATTTAAAGGAGGAAGAGCAGGTTTTCCTCTTTGGCACTCGCTAGTTTTTTTACTGAATATTAACTAACTGGTTTTCATTTAGTGTAGTTAAACTGTAAAAGTGTTTCTGATGGTTGTTAGAATGTACTAAGTAGTAATTGGAAGTGGATGCTAGAAGTGCATGAATAATGATGGTGAAAAGACTTAGCACAAAACAGCAGGAAGATCCGTAGATAACATGAAGGGGAGAGATGTCATGAATATGGTCTTTTACTAATGTCTTGAAGATTGGGTCCCAAAAGACACATGGGAAATGCTAGCGATCCATATAAATTCAGAGGTATTATTGATTTCATTGACTGTTATGTTTAACTGCAATTTCAGATTTTAATATAGAGGCAGATTGAAGCTGAGGGCTCTACAGATCCTTAAGGCCCCTGCATTATTAATCTTACAACTGTTTCCTTTGTCATGAGGAACATTTAAATGAACACGTTAATTTTAAGCTACTGTTAAATATTAAATTAGAGGTTATCTGTGGTTAGGGAGGAAGTTGCAATGGTACGTGAAAGAGGGACAGTTGTTAGATTGCATAATCCCCATCAGAGTTGTTTAAAACAAACAAAAAAAACCCCACTAAGCAAACAACTTTCAGAGCTGAAATACCTACCAAATGGTCTCAGATGCCTTTCCCCAGACAACTTCATTAACCTCATATCCTTAAAGCAGTATTTTGCAAAATACAAGGAAATTAGACTGCTCTGACCTGTAGACTGAGGTTAATTTTGCCCTCAGTGGGAGGCCTGGTATTTGGTAAAGACTCAAGTTTCCAGGCCTTGAGCCAAGGAAAGTGGAATTCATGAGCTCAGTCTGTGGAGTACGTGTTTGTGAGGGACAAAATGTGTAGGTCACGTTAATCCTCCATCTGCCCAGCTGGTTGACTTGGAGCTAATTCTACCTTAAGAGCTTCTGCCTCTTTAATCCAGACAGTGGCAAGTGGTAAAGGAGGAGCACAGAGGACAAAACCATGATAAATTTGGCCAAGTCCTTAGGCAGGGCATAACTATGGACAGTAACATCATAATTGCAACACTGAAGATGGGCGAGGACAGTTGGGTTGGTTAAGTCTCCAGTTACTGCATCCCTTAGCCTTCCATTTGGCTGGGATGGTGGAAGATTTCTTTGCCACTGAGCAGCAAAGTAAGCATTTGGGCTTGTGCTGTTCTATAAAAGGTTAATAATGAAGGGATGAGGTTGGTAAATACAAGTTACTGTTTTAAAGTAATGTTTATTCGGCTATAAGAGCAAAAGAAAAATGCAAAGTAAGGTGTTTGCTACTAAGCGAAGAAAAATCTCGTACATAGGTAAGATGGCCGTTTTTTTGTAGAATAGGCCCCAGTGGCAGAGGGCTAAGTATGAAAGAGGAAAGTTCACATTTAGTTTTAGACTTCGCAGTCCTTAATGATGTAAAAAGCCAACCTTTAACTGATGAAATAAGCCCTAAAAATAAAACCATGGAACAGTGGGGGTGCACTTCACTTAATTTCTCACCACTGAAAGTCTACATGGGAGAGATCAAGATTTCATAAAGTAGGTGACAAATATAAAACATGGGTTTGCCCCATTACCTATTTTTCCTATAATGTAAAACTCTCTTACTTACACCAACGTTGCCTTTCGCTAGCACACAACAATTTGGTTTCAAAATTGAGGCTGTCTTTCAAAGACTCATGAACATGGACTTCCTGCAGTGCGTACCTGCTGTCTTCTCGAGAATATCAGTCAAGATAATAGGCAGTACTCACTACAGATGACTGAGAACGCAACTCTCAACAATCTATTTTCTTCCTCCCCATCCCAGGAAGAAAAAAAACTGAGTAGTGACCCAGCTCTGTTCTGTTGACTGCTTGCCATTTGCCTATATTGTAGTAGATTTTGGTTTGGGGTTTCTTTACATTTTTTGTAATAATAATAAGTGGATGTTGCGTGTGGAGGTGTGCAAAACAATAGAACTTGTGAAACTGCACGGCTTGTTCTGGAGTTCCGCAAGAAGCCTTATTGCATTGCTCAACACGGTTGATGAGATGAAAATCAAATTTTTACCCATTCTAAATGTTTTTATTATAAAATCCCAGTTAGGGTTAAGATGCTAATACCCTAATTCGGCAAAATGTTTAAGATCCTGACTTTTCCCTTCTGTAATGAACTTTGTGGGCTTGGAATTGAGAAGGAACTTCCAACTCCACAACTGCAAGGATTTTCTAACTGTAGTTAGAAAAGAACAGGGAATGATTTCAAAAGCAAATGTTCAGAACAGTATGCTTTTACACTTCGCATCCTACCAGGAGCCAAGTCCTCCTAACAGTTTAGCAAGAGTACTGCAAGCTATTTCATTCAGAAAGGGAGGTAGCCTTGAGGAGAGGCAAGTTTCAAACCATTTACAGTTCTACTATGCTGTATGTTGTTGGGTCTTGTGAGGGTTTGGTTTTGTTTTTTTTTTTTTTAATTTTGAAGTCTAGTAAACCTGTTGCTGTATATTTAATTGCATTGTATTTCCCATCTTAGCACTGTCAAAAATACCATCCTTTTATTTTGCTCTGTTAGAAATGCATCTGATAAGATCCTTGAGGTCTACACAGTTTTGGCTAACATGTCTGTTTCAGACATTTCATTCACTTTTGTCTGAGGGATTGTGTATTGTGCTTTTGATTTAGTAGTGGCAGCATTCGTCTTTCCCAATAGATGCCTTTGGCAGACAGTCCAGAGTAAGTGAACAGAAATTAAATCACTTAATTCCAAACAGTGGTCTTGCCAGGTGACTCCCGAGGAATAATGTGGAAGAGTGGGAAAGCTGCTGCTCCGTTTGTTGAAATCAAATCTGTCTTGTGATCAGAGCCGTGTCCTTCTCTGCAATTGCCTACCCAGGACCTATTTTACATACAAGACCTGAACATTTAACACTGCAAGTGTACACAGAGCATGGCAGTGTCCATCCATCTTTGAAAGTGTCTGTTGGGTGATGACAGCAAAAGGAAAACAAAAGCACTGTGGTGATTAGAATCATGAAGTGGTTTGGGTTGGAAGGGACCTTAAAGATCACCTAGTTCCACCCCTCTGCCATGGGCAGGGACACCTTCCACTAGACCAGGTTGCTCAAAGCCTCATCCAGCCTGGCCTTGAACACTTCCAGGGATGTGGCATCCACAGCTTCTCTGTGCAACCTGTTCCATTGCCTCACCACCCTCTCCAGGAAGAAGTTCTTCCGGATATCCAGTCTAAACCTCCCCACTTTCAATTTAAGCCCATTACCCCTTGTCCTGTCACTACAGGCCCATGTAAAAAGCCCCCTTCCAGCTTTCTTGTCGACCCTTTCAGGTACTGGAAGGCTGCTGTTACTTCTATTATAATAGTACCTGCATAAAGATTCCCATTGTACAGACAAATATATACAGTTACGTAGTAACATACAGCCTGTTAGAAACGGGAGAGACAGCTGCTTCCCTTTGTAGTAAGGGGTTGCCTTGGTGCTGGCTCTGGGGAACACCAGGACAGCTGTGGAGCCTGGGTGGTCTTGCTAGCACATGCCCTGCATGCCTGCAAGCACTATTCTCTGGACCTAGATCAGTTAATTTTGGTCTTAATTCCCTGACGTAGTTTGCTTTACCGACACGCAGCATAAGGAGGAGCAGCAGGCAGAGGTATGCATCTTGGGATGGGGAGATGGGCAGGGAGGAGATGGGTATGTAGTAATTCATCTTCCGATGGCTCTCTGGCTTTTACCTTCAGAACCCAACAGCAGAAGTCCAGTGTTGTCCGTTTGCTGCTTCTCAGATCGACAGCAAGTCATTCCTGAGAGTGGTCTGCTACAGCTTGAGAGGGATATAAAATATGTAGGTAGTTCCCCCCTTCTATGACAGCCAAATATGGCCCAAAATAGATTTAGAAAACTGTCCCAAGGAAGAATCAGACTCATCCTACCCCTAATTCTCTTGATGAACTATGGAGGGAGGCCTCCAGCCGTGATTGCAGGGGTAT